CATTTACGCACAAATACTCATGCACGCATCAGCGAAATGGTAGGCCTATGAAACCTACATTCTGCTAAATAGTTAATCGGCTAATCGTAAAATTAAAGATGGGAAATTTTGTGAATGTTTGAAATAAATTTCTATTCACCTTCAACTTTCTAATATCGAGATTTCAATGTTCCCATACCCATTTCAAGGCAGCATGAAAATTAACAAAATTTGTCAATAAACTGTTGTTCCATGTACCTAAGCGCTACACGTTTTAAACGTGGGAAATGCATTCTTCGCCTCACAAGAGTCGCCTCGAACGTAGTAATATCACGGGCTGAAAGAAACCTGATGTAAAGGAATTATTTCCTTGCTATTCACCGAATGAGTAAAGATATCAGGAGCCCAACTCTATAATAATAATAATAATATTTTACCACATTCACACAACGCCATCTAGTCCCAAACTAAGCAGAGCTTGTACTATGGGTACTAGACAACTGATATAAATACATATATACTTTTTTTTTGTAAATACATACTTATTATACATAGAAACACCCAGACCAAATCAAACATTAAATGTTCATGCACACAAATGTTTGACTTGAGCGGGAATCGAACCCGCGACCTTTGGAATAGCAGTCCGTTACACAAACCACTACGCCATTCGGTCGTCAAATTCAACTCAAATTCTGATCTTACTCTCAAAGACCGGCACCGCACTTGACTCTTGAGATACTGGTATAAATTTGCCAGCGGTGTCACTCACCATGACGGTGGTTAATAATATTGGTTTCTATTTTATGCATTTCAAACTTCTTTTATTTATTGACAATGTGATTTTTTTTAACACAGTTAATAATCTCGCTAAAGCAAAATTATTTCAAAAGACCTTCAGCGACTGGACACATATTACTAATATAATAACTTAGAACTCGATGCTTCCACATCTTTCTCCATGAGCTTTACATGTCAAATACTGGAAGGAAAAACTGTATCTAAGGATCTGGGTGTGGTGTATGACAACAAACTTTTATTTGATAAGCATGAGAATCAAATAGTCGACAAAGCTTTTAGGGTCCTGGGTTTTATAATACGCCGCGCGCGTCCCGTGATTTTCGAAATATGAAAACTATCAAAATTTAGTACTGTGCTTACATGAGGAGTCATTTGAAATACGTTGTTCAGATCTGGAATCCATACTACCCTGGTTACCACAATAAGATTGAGAAAATACAAAATAAATTTATTCATGTGGTAGAATATTTTATATAATATTTGAATTCATTTCTGAAATGAAAACTATCATGAAAACTTGGGTTTCAAATTTAAACTTTGCCATTTGGTTGATATTACATAATATTAGGAGCGCTGTGTAACATTACATCTCTTACCTCCTACATTAGGCATAATATTTCAGACCTAGCATTCCTGCTCAGTCTTGCTTATCTCCTAAATCTAGATAGGTTAAAAAATAACGAGCAAAACTACGGGTCAAACTGATACAATAACTGGTGAAGATCTTAAATATCTGTATATTGACCGGTACGTGTAAACACGAAAACCTTATTTCTGTCACTGATACCTTTCAATTATGATTGACGTCGGCAATAAGCTGACATCGCCTACTATTTGCTTTTATTACTCATATAGTAATGGGATATGTGGTCAAATTTTCAGCAAATAGAAGAAATTGTACTATATCGTAATATGATAAATATTGGCTGTTGTGTTGGTTGCTATAATAAGATCGTCTGTCAACACTTAGTACCTAAAAATGAAGTAAGCATAGTTTATTTTTAACTGCATGTTACATCACTAAAACTAAAGGAGACGAAAAAAATACAGTGATATCCATAATTTTTCAACCGACTACAAAAAAGCTGAAACTCATTTGACAAACTATTAGTATTTTCATTCACTTAAACTTACATTAAATGTATATCCAACCACGTTTTTCACGGCAACTTGTAACCGGATTATAATTATTTTTTAAATTTTGCTTAATACCTAAAAATATTTAAATACATGTTTTTGTATTGTTAAATTCAAGTTGCAAAATCAATTCAATTTCAAATATATTTTTTATGGCCCAGTATTAATTCGTCTCAGCACACTAATTCTCACCCAAAAACTATTTTAGTAGTAGTAATTGAAGTACTCATTCGCCGTGTTCATATTGCAAAGTAAAATTTCAGCATAAACAGAAAATAAAGTTCTTTAATTGGCTGCAAAAATTAGATTACGAAGAGACAGAAAAAATGATAAAACCCAGTATAAACCAGTAATTACAAAACCCTTACACACCCTTTCACACTCACTCTCTCGCTCACATCAAATATACAAAGAGACTCACGTACATACTAAATAAGTAAATGTATTAGGTAACGCGCTTGTGACTACCAAGTTGCAGGCGTTCATGGGCGGCGGTAGTCGCTTTCCATCAGGTGACTCGTCTGCTTGTTTGCCCCCTATTCCATAAAAAAATGTTAATTGGATCTGCTAACAATGAAATAAAAACTAATTCAGTGTTTTAGCTAATATTATGGTGGAAGAGCACTGTTGCCTGAGACACAGGTGTTAAGCCTAGTTAAGGTACAAATGCCGAATGTTAATTAGACATAATTCTAGTACTGAATAAAGATATTATTATTATTATTTAATAGTCAAGAATTGAAGTTCGATGTCTTACTTATATTCATGTTTTTATCCTCGCATCAGAAGAAAGTACAATCTTTATTCTCAACGTTTTACCATGCAATAAAGATCGCACATCTCGCGCATTTGAAGCACCTACATTGTACATTTAAGTTGGCTCATTTATGTGCTAGTTTTGTTCTTGATCGTGCGATACACGCGATCGTGGACACGTTTTCTAAAAGAATGTAGCACCTAAACAGAATCGAACCATTTGCGATGCCATTAACCGAATCTATAAATTCAATCGATGAATGTTCTGCTGTGTTTATCTATCTAGGATGTTGCTTTTGTTTGTTATTTAGTAATTATTAACAGATTGAAGTTTTAGTTTCGAATCAATATAAAATATTATTAATTATATTCACTCGTGTTAGTCAGAAATTTTAATTGATATTTATTATTCTAAATACGTTCTGATTATACATCTCAATAATAAAAGATTTTTTAGGCATATGAAGTCTTTCTTTTATCAAACTCTAACCACAAGGTATTCCGTCAGGAGTGAGTGTACTGCATACGTTTATACCCCAGGAAACTAGTACTCAAGAGCCCTGCAAACCTTTCAACCAACTCACTCAACCAACTCACTTTCTTTTGCAGATATCACTTCGACTATTCACGATGTCTTGTAAGAACCGCCATAAGACACACGCCACACCGTTGCATTAAAACTAAGAACAGTACTGGAGTATCAAGTACAATATCCTCGGGGAAAAATGCCAAACATACCATAAGCTTAAAAAAATATAATGTTTCGCTTTTTCCGTACTTATTGCTTTATCGTTTTTTAGATGAGATACAAATTAACGAAACGTTCAAAGATACCCTAAGACTTCGATCCGACATTTCAGTCGCCTTATTCAAGAAAACAATTACACACACAGAACTTCCATTCCTCCTCCTGCCTGTATTCAAAATAAAAAATAAAATCTGTTTACCAAGATAAAACTGTCTCACCGGCCGGAGACATGCAAATGCATTGTTAAGATAAACGCTGTCTCTGTTTAAGAGCAGAAACAAGTTATAAGCAGACGATAGGCATTCAAGAACTTTCGAATCTGATGGGACGACGTTTAGTTTATGTAGTACTTTCTTAAGATGAGTTATTTGTAGTTATTAGAACAATAATAAAAGTCTCTTTTTATTTAAAGCAAAGTTTAAATTAATTTAAAGCATTATTAAATATCAAAGCAATATATCGCGTTGATGACAAGCACTGTATTTTGACAAGAGATTAAGACGCATAACACGTTACGTTAGATTTAACTAAAGATTTATTTACAATAAAATGTACGTTCAAGTGCTAACATACGTTCATGAATTAACCAAACAATTTGTTACCATTACAAGTAGCAATAACTGCATAATATTTAACTGTTTTATTTAATTTGTGTGAGAGAAATCGTTATTACCAATGCAATGTTACCTTAGCTTCCATTCTGATTATGATCTTGTTTTTTTTCTATTTAGAAACATTCAGAATAAAAAACAATCAACAAGATTTATTTATTGTAACTAATTGTCTTCTTGACCTCAATTTATATATAATGCAGTTATGACCCTTACAGAGACGTTTTGAATAATAATTTATAATATATGCAAAATAAAGTTATTTTGATGAATATAATTTCCCAATCAGTATAATTTAATCAAACGGAGTTAGTGAGGAAGCACACATCATTTACCTTTTTTTATTTCTTATAAGTCATTTTTTAAGCAAAAAATGACTTATAAGAAATAAAAAAAGGTATGTTTATAACTCAATGCATGTAATACGGGCAAATAAAACAAAGTGTCTTACTTCCAACTAAGATATAAGTATAATTATTTTCTCGAAGCACTTCTTACATTTGAAGTTGCAACTTGCCAACTTGAACAGTTTGCGGTCAACTATATAATTAGTTTCAGTGGGCAGTCCGCTTCCTTGCAAAGTCTTGTTACAACTATTATAAGGCGCATTCGTACTTACCTACTTAACTTCATAATTAGAATAGAATAGAATATAAATAAATTCAACCGTGAACCATTATGATTTTCGTATAGAAAATTTCAGAAACAATACATATAGAGTGGCCTTATCTATTACAGATATGCGGTGACCATTAGCAGAATATGAGTAAAGTATGGGCAATGATCTCACTGTTATGAACAAATTTGATGTGAATAATGATGTTGCTGAAATTTAAAACAAGGAGAAAGCAAAGGCCTTCAAAAATACTTTTTTTCAAAAAGTTGTTTAAAGTTTCTCCATTGATTAGTGTACATTGCTACTTAATTGTTATTTTTCCAATGATTCTTATTAACTATAATTGTTGCAGCTTCTACTATCAACAAACACGAAATGGATCGCAAAGGCAACAGAACGAGCCGACCGGGGAACGCAGTCACAAAGATCTTCGCACTGCTGCTCATTATATGCCTTGTCGAATGTGCTACAGGTATAGCCTATGGAATCACTGTTTGGAATCATCAATCTGTCACATATCATCCGCGTTTCCACTATATGTCATCTTAAAAGAGGTATTGAATAAACGTCAAACTTATCTTTAGATGAGTTCTTATGTCATTTTTTGACATGATGTGTAGCCTTAACTCAACTCTTTGCCTGCCGGTTGAAACAAAGAATAATTAATTCGAACTCTAGCTGTAAATTCTAGAATTCAGATTTTAATTTTACTAATTCAAACTTCGAACAGTTCTTTGTTCCAACTAAAAACTTCTTGAAAAGCTTCCTTATATTTTACTTTACAGCCTAGTAAAGAAGGTTTTCATTTCTGTCTTTCTTTGCTTCTTTTTATATTTAGATGGATATTATGAATTTTGTGACGTCATCTTCTTATTGTTTTCATCTCATTTAATGATAAGCAACAACGATTATCCACCATACATTAGAAAAATAGACGGTATACTAGTAATAATAGAAAAACTTAGAATAGGATAAACTTCTCCAGGGTAGAGTAACTTCATTATTTACCTAACACAAATGTAAATAACAGGCGCCCTTCTACCTTGCATTGCTTTCATCTATGTGTAAATAAATATTTGCATTAAATGCCATAGAATAGTAAAATTTTAGTAAATTTTTTACAATTTTTGAAAGAAAAGTTCTATGTGTTCTCAGAAGAATAGATTACAGTTGAAAAAAAAAAACTTTTTAGCACAGCCTATAAGCGCTTAATCATTTATAACCCGGCAATCTCGTGCGCGACCGTCCCGCGGGGTGACAGGCAGTGGCGGGGGCGAGGTAGCGCGTCATTCTAGCACACGGCTAACGCGTTTCCCTTCCCCGCTACACCACCCGCTACCCGCTGACATCTTGAGTACCTCGGCCCCGCCACCGTCTGTCACCCCGCAGGACGGTCGCGCACGACGTTGACGGACTATAACTATTTATTTACAGGCAACCTTTAGATGGACTATACCGTATACGGTATTGCATATGCACTACATATTACTATAGTAATATGTAGTTCGTTGTACTCATTTATAATATACGACTATTAATGAATATCATGTTAAATAATTGACGTCTTATGGATATTTATTTGAGTTTATAATAAAGACCTTAACTTTTGTTTTACGCATGTCTATTACACCTCAGAAAGATAAACTACAGTTACGATGATCTAAATCATATTTGAAAAAAAAAAGATAAACGAAGAGAGAGAAAAGATAACAAAATAAATGAAGATAAACTTAAAAGTTTATTCCCCATGTCCTGTCTGTAAGTTAATCCAACCCCACATAAAACACCCCTTAAATCTCATAAACGTATATCTAAACAAAAGAAAACAAGCTCGAAATCATAACACGTTTACAAAGCGTAGGTTTATCCGCGACAATCTTCGTCAAACCTCGTTTACACTTATTTCGTATGAAAAATGGTTTACTACTGAGTAAGTAGCGTAACAGTGTGTAAAAATATGCGACCAATTTGTGTGTTACTCCATTACGTAACAAAAAGGATTTTGGGTAATGTTGTATACTGGAATGATGATGATCACGACCTTTGCAGTAAGCTTAGTAATTTTTTATGCAATATTATTTATTTGTGTTGTCAACAGTATACAACACGATCTATTTTAATAAGAATATGCACCCTGTTTAAATTTTTACCTCTCCCTGTTTTTCACCCTCATATCTAATGTAAACCTCATTACCAGATTTATACTGTTATTCTCATTAACACATTTCATTTATATACGAAGCGTATTATTGAATTACAACAGGTCCTAATAGTAATTAGAACCCGTTCTAATTAGTAAAATATAAATGGTTTTGAATCATCCGTACTCCGAGTCTGCGAGCCTTTTTAGACAACGCCTACACTAGGAATACTTATATCCTGTGTCGCGGGGGACTTCACAGACACACATGAAACGGACGCAAAGAACACCCAGACTCAGAAAAACTATTTGTAGATCATACAAAGTGTTATTACAAGGGGCGTCGAACCCACTACACTATACGTGCAATCAATTAATTATATGTATATAGAAAAATATAGTTAATCATATATTTTATCACATGACAACAACTTAAACAGAATCAAACCTCAGTAGAAATCGAAACAACGCATCACGTACACACGAAATAAAAACTTCCCAACTGAATTACAAGAAGAACAATTATAAACTATTCTTAACTGATTTCGTTTTATTAAATTTACGCCAATTTCTATAAACTACACTTATCTTTGACACTTTGCTGATTCAATTTGATAATAAAAGTTTAGAAGTTTTGGTAACTTGTTGCGAATAGTAAATTTTTATTAACCCCCTAGAGAAATAGGAGGGGTGTTAAAAGTTTAATGTTTGTATTTGTGTGTCTACGTGTCTGTTGTATCATAGGTTCTTTACGGAAAGGGCGATTCTGAGATAATTTGTGGCTCTTGCGTTGCATGCGTCTATAGGGGGTGGATTTACTTACCCTCAGTAGTCCCGTATGCTTATATTACGAATATGGACTTTTATTGTAAATAATAGGGGTACCTATAATATACCATAAAAATTTCGCGTGGGGATGGATTAAGAATACGGAGTGACCAACCGAAATTATCCCGTGGGTGTCGTAAGAGCCGACTAATTGAGCAACTACGCAGGACAAGGGTATTGCAAAAATAAATAAAACCTATACCAACCTGCCTAGCTAGCGTGGTACACTAGGCCAAAACCTCCTTTCTATGGAGAGGCCTGTATCGAGCAGTGCACTAAAGGCTGTTAATGATACCACAAAAAAAAACATCTCTTATAAAACACTCAAATATTTTCTCACGGCGCAGAGCAAAGTAATAAATTAAATACATATTTATTAGTACTAATAAATCTTACACATGACCAATTCTATAGTCGGTCGTAACGTCAATGTTTGTCAAACTGACTCGTATAAAATCTGTCCTTTAACGGTATCGTAAATATCGCTAGTAATACAGTTATTTGAGATTGATTGTACATAGTGGGCAATTTACGACTGCAATGTGTCTGATATGACCATTTCGTAAATGATAAATGTTTGATGATCGTAAACGACCTCTTGAAACTTAAAATGTGACAATATAATGGTGGTAATTCTGTTGTTTGAAAACCCTCTAAACTGAACTAAAAATTAATTTAGTCCTGTCAAACAACATTTAGCATTCTGAATACGTAGTACTTGACTGGACTAAACAATTTTTTTGTGATCTTTAGTTTTGTTTAGAGAGCTTTCAATCAACAGAATTAGCACCATTATTTACAAATACAATCGAATAAATATTATTTAATAATGTACTTAAATGACGATTATAATTTCAAATAATAAGCTGCAGGTTTTTCTAATATATTTTTTTTATTGTATTTGATTTTAATGATTTTTTTTTTTTTTTTTTTTTTCTACGGTATGGTAGCATTTATTATAGAAATTCTAAAAGGTGTCATGGGTGTAACGGCTATTGACGTCGTACACACAGTGTTGTTGTCTAATTCTGCCGCCTTCTGTTCGAATTATCCTTCTTTATCTTCTAGCAATGGCTGGTTAAGTTGTAAAGCATTGATAGAAGTTTTCTTCATATTAAGTAAGCTCACAAATTTGTCACAAAGCGCCTTTTCCATATCAATTTTAAGATGTAGAAATTCTTCAGTATCTTTGAGACACTTCTGGTAATCAGATTTGATAGTTTCGAATTTATATTTTAAACTATTTACTTTACCTTTCAAATGGCTGTTTAATGCAACTAATACTTCTATTAAATTCGGTTGCGATTTCTTCGGCTGTTCAACTAATTCCATGGGTAGAAATCCTTCCATGACAAACGAATCTTTGAGTCTTCGTTTCCAGTAGAAGAATCCGCTTTTTAATTCATAACAGTAGTCTTGGCTGGCCTGAGATAGACACGTTTTGACTAACTCATAGTATTTGCTTTCAGGCAACTGTAAGTTCCTACTGAATCCTGCTAGTCTATTAGGCGAAAATCGACCCTTCCAAAGTTTATCCTTATTGAAAAGGTACAGTTCAAACGAATCGACTTGCCAACCGATTAGTAGGTAACAACCTTCGCCTTCGAACTGAACGTCTAATTTTGTTACCGTGATGGCTTCATCTAAATCCATAATATAATCTTATTATTTATGATATTTTATGGCATTTTGAGCAACGCACACCTTTATTCCAGTTTGTTATTTGTGTTGATTAGATTATTTATTGAATAAAAACAACAAGAATGGAAAAAAACCTTGCACTTGAGCTTCAACTGAGAAGATTGTTCATAGGTACATAGTGCGACATTACAAATTAATCACTAGTAAACTCATAGACAGTTAATTTTTTTCTAATATAATTTAAAAAATAAATAAGAACTGAAAATATTTTATTATATGCAAGTCAAATTCGACTTAGCTGTCTTAATCGTCGTCTTCATTACATCAGTTTTAAGTCGAGTTTAGGAATAAAATACCATTTTTAAATACGAACCAATATATGTCGAGGGTACAGTCAGTCATTCATCACATCACATCACATCAACAGCCTTTACTAGTCCACTGCTGGACATAGGCCTCTATTTAGAAAGGAGGTTTTGGCCTACTATACCACGCTGGCCAGACGGGTTGGTATAGGGTTTGTTTTAAGTTTTCCTTCTCTCTGCAGTGCTGTTGTCCTGCGTAGTTTGCTCCTTAGTCGCCTCTTACGACACCCACGGGATAAATAGGGGTGGTGACACTCTGTATTCTTAATCCGTCACCACACGGATGATCAGTCATTAAAATATATTAAATGTCTATGATAATATTTAGTTAGAAAAACTTAAGTACATTGTAACACTCAATGACAAATGATGTGAACTTCCACTAGGCACTATTTACAGCAATTATTACAACTTATAACATGTATGGCATGTTGGGGTAGGTCGGCACGACATCGCAGAGTAATTAATTAACTAAGAGGTTTTTTTTTTTAATACAAGTTATTCTCGAAATGAATTTAAATGTTCTGTTACAGAGCAAAACAAGATCAATATTTGAATTACCATAGAAAAATTCATCTTCTCTCTTAAGGAAGAATTGATCTTACTATTTACTTTAGGAATACGATAAAATGTAGCCTAATCAAACTATAAATCACATTATATTTTCTTTACGAAATTAAGTTCTAACATAATAGATGGTTTCACCTTTATACGGTAGTTGAAAGTCGAGTCAAATCAATATTTCTTTATTAAACGTCAAACTGTACCATCTCTTCATGACTTATAATATTACGTGAAACCCTCAAATAATTAACTTAAAATGTTTGATTAAACAAATAACTAAGTTAATAATACTTATTTTGTCAGAAAAAAAATCAAAAAAATAAATTGACAACAATACTATACGAATACATTAATACTAGCTTTTGCCCGCAGCTCCGACGGGCAACTATCGGTCATCGAGGTAAAAAGTAGGGTATGTCTTTCCTTAAGAAACAAAGTATCTCATAACCAAATTTCATCTAAATCAGTTCAGCGGTTATTGATTCCCCATACACACTTCCACCCACCTTTTCACCCCCCTTAAAGGATGCTTTCTGGGATAAAAACTACCTTGTGTCCTTTCTCGGGACTCAGACTATCTCTATACCAAATTTAATCTAAATCGGTTCAGTGGTTTAAGCGTGAAGAGGTAACAGACAGACAGACAGACAGAAAAACAGACACACTTGCGCATTTATAATATTGGTAGATGTCGTTAGTCCCATAGAGAATTTAAATTGCCAGTACAAATGCAGATTTATTTAACTTGCTGTATGGGAATAAAACTCTTTTAATCAGCTTTGTCGTTGGTGTGCTATAAGGGAGTCGAGTTCCATTGTCACTGTATGGTTCGGAAACAGCCAGTCCAGTTTGACGGCGAGCGAGACATGCGGCGTTATTGCTTTTATGATGATGATCTATTGAAAAAATTAAAACTTTCTATTAGATGTTGGTTGTGAGAGCAAAAGAAAATGTTTTATATGTAGTTATAGTTATTGAATATCCATACCTATATTACAAATCTGAAAGTTAGTTTGTTTGTTGCGCTTTTACGCCTTAATCACTAAACCGATTTAAAAAATTTGTTTGCACATTACACGCGTATTGTTTTGTTAAAACTATGTATGTCACCTCATTAACAGCTATCCTAAATCATTTTCTTGTTTCTTATTATAATGTTATTATAATTTCGGTAATAGTTGTACTGGTCAGCTAAATCTCTGTTTCAACGTGTGCATAGATGTTAGCTCAACTCAACAACAACTCCCACATTAGGAATAGAAATAACTTTACAAATATACATGAAACGGATACAAAAAACACGCAGACTGAGAACAACAATTTGCGGATCAGACAAAGTGTCGTCCCACGTGGCGATCGAACCCACAACACTCAACGTAGTAGTAAACGGCGTGGCGACCGCTTTAAACACTACGTCATCCGTGCAGTCATTATAACATTAGACTATAAATACTAACACAAATCACCAACAAGATGAGTAATAAAGTAGTATCAGAACACGCAACAGTAGTTACACTACAAATTCTTTTATCAATGGAATACTACATTAACAGCTAGTAACACAGGCTACTTTTCTCTATGAAAACCGACATACACGTGGGTGCGGAAGACGCTGGCAAAAGCTAGTATTAAATAAAGCAACATTTGGATTAACTGGTTGGTTTAAATTGTTTTGGACGTTAAACGACTAATTCTGTTACATCATCATCATCAACAGCCTTTGACAGTCCACTGCTGGACATAGGCCGCTCCTTAGAAAGGAGGTTTTCGCCTACTATGGCACGCTGGCCAGACGGGTTGGTAAAGGATTTGTGTCCAATTTTCCTTCTCTTTGCAGTGATGTTGTTCTGCGTAGTTTGCTCCCTTAGTCGGCTCTTACGACACCCACGAGATGACTAGGGGTGGTGACAATATCGTGCCAGCTGGCTCCGCGAATGATATAATAAATTATAGGGGTGGTGACAATGCGTATTCTTAATCCGTCACCACACGGTTACATAACCTACATGCAATGTCAGCAATAGTTCAAACATACACACAATCGAATGTTGGGCACATAATATCTTTTCAGCACTCTTAATTGTGATGCTCTTGCATCCACAGAAACTCAAATGGCAATATTATTAAGTAATTATATTTTTGGCAAAGACGCCTAAGGTCATAGGGTCTGTATGCCCGTTTCATAAGGGATGAGCTAAACATCTCACTTTCCATTCTGTTCTGTAAAAAAAACAAGACAGGAACGTGAGTTTATAGAAAAATTTATAGAAATATAAAACTACGGCATGATGCTAATTGTAAGTGAAAAAATGATTACTTTGTTAACAGACGCATGTAATCTACAAACAAAAATAAAAACAATTTAAAAACTATCACAAAGATAGAAAAAATATAAAAATAATAAACACAAGTGCAAGCCCTTGTCACTGAAACAATAACAACTAACTACAATAAAAATAAAACTATATTTCTGCAAATTGTTTATAAATAATAAACCACATCGTAAAATTAATGAACTATAAACACAAAAGATCTGTCTGAAGCAGTTATCAGAGCCTTGACATATCTCCAAAACTAATGACGTATATTTTATCCACAGAGCAGAGAATTAACAATAGAGGTAGCAAAACTTCGAACATTGTAGAGAAGGTCAACGGATGGCGAAGTCAGCGAGGAGGTATGTCGGATAAAAGCATGCGCTTTGGCTGTACAAACTGCAATCGTTCGTAGCATAGGCAATACGAATTGTAGTTTAATACCCAATGCACTGACAACTTTATTGCACTATATATAAAAAAAATTGGATAATAAAATGATAAACTGAACGATTATTGTTTTAAGCTGAAATTCAGAGCTATTCATTGTTTGTTTGTAATTAGACTGATTGCAGTGATGCATGAATGTGAAATATTTCTATATGCTAGTAATACTTTCCATCTTTGTCTTGGGATATGAGAAGTATCGTTTGATCAAACTTTTTCGTAGATGTGTATTTTCATTGTAATTACATGAGATTAGGTACAGTTATATAGCAGACTGACTACAAAGTCTACAAATAAATAATACAATTAATATACGAATTATTTTGGTTCAAAGTTTTCTAAAGTAAATAAATCGCAAAAATATTTATGATTAGATTTTTTTTAGAAGTTCTTAAAATGGAGTAAGTTAGAAAGTGCTACCTCTATATTATTTCTCTACTCTGTGTCATTCTAGTTTTATTTAACGTTCACGTGTAAATTGAAAATATTATACGGTTTCATAGGAAAACATTTGTTTGCCATGGCCTGTTACTATGCATGGCGTTTGCATACTGGTTCGTTAATTTCATCGCGCTTTTCATAGAATAGTTATTTCTGGGAATATAATATATACTCGTAGTAAATTAGTTACCTGAATCAGACCGTCAAGGCTGATTCCGATTAGTAGAATAAAAAAAAAAACTTTAATAGATTAATTACTTTAATTGATTTAATTGAAAGTCTATGAAAATTGCACACTGTTATTTTTAATTCATTAATGTTCAATATTAACATCTAAGTTTTTAACTTTTTTAGATAGTAAATATTTGTATATCTTTATTGATTTATTAAATTAAGGTATATTAATTTATCGGTAATCGGAAAACATAAGGACCTGGCCTATTAGTCGTCATCTTTCGGTCAGAATCATATTTCGGTGCATGTTCATTTTAACTTGTAAAGCGATAGCCAGTAATATTTTTGCATGTAAATTAAAATTAACAAAAAAATCAACTTATATACCACTTACATTATATAACACTAAAATGAAAATTTAGAGGCGAAAATAATGGAGAATTTAATTAGAAATATCACTCATTTTGCCAATTTTTTTTGTCATTCCAGTAAAATTGTGTCAGTTTAAATGAAAGAAACCGTAAATTAAAGTAAATAATAATTCTATCAGTCCATCCAGCTTTCATAGTACAAACTCTGCTTAGGTTGAAACTAGATGGCGTTGTGTGACAGATGTCGGAAAAAAATTATTTTTAATTATGGATAAGTTTGGCTTAAATGAAATTAACCATTAGTGCTACTCGTATTATGAGTATTTTTGAACTTGTGCACTATTTAGTCTTTTGATACGAGTACACTCAGAAATTCACAAACATGTACGTAACTACCTAACGATTTTTGTTTAATACACTTGGATCTCCTTTCTGAGGAGAGGCCTATGTCCAGCAGTCGCAGCAAGCTGTTGATGTCGATGATGACACATTGGACGTGAAGCAAATATTTCGATCGGACCAATTTTTTGTATGATTTGCAAATATTCGTTTCAGAGTTTGGGTGTTTTCTATGTTTAATATGTATGTATTTACAAAAAAAAAGTATGAATGTATTCCATCAGACAATCTGGTTTTCATAGTACCTATACTTAAAAAAATTGGTTATACGAGGATAAAAACTTTAGCGGTAAAAATAGCCGATGTTATTTGCTGAAAATTAAGCTTTCCACGGGTGAAGTAATATTTAAAATCGATTAAGTGGTTTAGGGGTGAAAGCGTAACAAACAAACAAACTTACTGTCACATTTATTATATAAGTATGGAAGTATGGAAGCATGGATATACGGTTTTAATCGCGTGTATATGTGTGTTTTACCCGACTAGATGAGGCCACGCGTGTATATGTGTGTTTTACCCGACTAGATGAGGCCACGTTAGGATAGGATTTAAAGAATATAGCAGTCTGCATTAACGGTGTCAAGCGCGGCCTACATCAGGCAGACACCTCCGAATCACACCCGAATGTAAAAATTGATTTCTTGTATAAATATCGAGTTACACATAAATCGCGACATTGACGAGATATTCTCCTCTTAATTTATGATAGTTGCAGTTCTTTTTATAAGGTAACGTATGTAAAAAAGAATATAAAGACCTATAGATAGATATATATATAGATTATGACCTATAGATTATTTCTATACTTTCATGAATAAATATAAATTTACACCGATTTTATCAGTTAACAAATACTCTGAAATAAATTTCTAAATCCATGCAGATTGGCAACGATCTTTTGAAAACTTATTGCTGGACGAAACCAATATTGGTGAAATAGAGTTGCAGTGTAGCACACTGTGTGGTTTTAGTCGGTTCGATAAAGATTTACAACCTAACCGAAATTACCGGTGGGGTGACGGCCCGAGGGACTTTCCATAGAGAGCGATATATGAAGTGGTAGTCTAAGGTCATGTTTTTTTCAATATTTTTATGATTTTATGGTAAGTGAGTACCACCTTCCATGAACACAACACACATGGCAACCCAGGAGTGGGGAAACACGCACTTTTGTAAAAGTTTCAAAGTCGTACCGGTCTCATAATACCACAGAATATCGGAATTAACACTTTTTTTTCTGATACTGTTCAATAATTCTAATCTTTCTGCAGTAATACTTTAAGGCATGCCTATGTTTATTTAACAGCATATTACCCTATAGTACACAAATATTGATCAATGTTTAATACGTTAAGTGACTGCAGTAACACGAACGTTGCAATACTTAATTAAGTTTAATTAAAAGTACTAGGTACACGTATGGGTAATCCACTCGTCATGTTCATGGAAGTTTTAGACGGGTCAGCCTTAATTTACTTATCTAAATCATTTTCTGCCAATTATACTCGTATTATGTAAATAGATAGATTATAATTTATTTGTGTGCCATTGTTTCAGTGAAAGTATCGTACATGAGTATGTTAACGTATAATACACAAAAAGCGATCTTATTGCTGAGACCTATGTCTTCTTCATAAGTTTTAATATTAAGTTTAATCAACTTGTCTGGCGTTGTCAATCGATCTGATTAGAGGCGTTCTCACGTCAATAATATACTCACTGTTTCCATAAGCATGGAATGCTCGATTGCCAAATTTATTTATTAACCAGCTGACCCGGCAAACGTTGTTTTGCCATATACATTATTTCTAGGAAATATTGAAAAAAATATTAAGGGTGGGTCACCCTTGTCATTTAGGGGTATGAAAGATAGATGTTGGCCGATTATCAGACCTACCCGATGTGCACACAAAATTTCATAAAAATCGGTCCAGCCGTTTCGGAGGAGTATGGTAACTAACATTGTGACACGAGAATTTTATATATAAGATAAGATTTAGGACAACTTACAAAACATACACTAATACTTAGTTTACAAATATGTTTTACAAATATGTACTGAGTGTTGTCTTACGTACAAGCTGCCACGGCGTGGTAAGGGACAGTGTCATCTAAGATTTTACAAATCAATATCTATAATAATATACAAAACATACAGACCATCATCGAAATAAATTAGAGACAGTTGTGCATTTAAAGTGGTCTAAGAAGGTGTAAATGACGCAATAACTTTGCTATTAAATTTTGGAAGACTGTTTAATAATAGTACTAAAGTTCGTCTCATTGATAAATTTCAAATTGAAAACTTTGAACGCGGTTGTTGTTGCACCTTGCTCATCCCACGGTGTTACTTTTTTCCGCGATAAAGCTACGCTTACGTACTATTCCAGACTATAATCTATCTCTGTGCCAAATTTTATCATACTCCATTTAGCCGTTTTTGCGTAAAAGAGTAACAAACATCCATACCTCCATATAAACTTTCGCATATATAATATTAGTAAGATTGAACATTATAGGCAACTTGGACTGACATTATATAAACTTTCAGCACCATGAAAGTTCCAAATATATGCTGACTATTCTGTCTAGTATCTGTTCGTAGACGTTTACTCATAAATTTAAATGTATCACATGTCGATTAAAATGAATTCTTCTACTTTTAAATTCTGAGTTTTACATCCCTCCTTTCTAAGGAGAGGCATATGTCCAGTAGTGGACTACTTAAGGCTGTTGATGATGGCATCCCTCTGTCCTCAGTTTGATTAAAAGAGATACAAAAAATCATGTTCACATATGATAAAAATAACCAATCCAACATAGTACAAACGATTTCTCATCATTTTTTTCTTTACCTGTTTTTTACGTTTAGTTTAACTCCAATCATCCATAATTTCATAAAACCATTGAACGTTTCAAATGAGACATACAGTCGAAGGAAAACTCTTATATGGGTCCATTGGGAAATCTTTATACAGCCACATTGGGGATTTATGTCCTGTTATGAGGAACAAACAGATTGGAGCCCTCTCAATTGATGTACGAATGGTTTAAAGCCCTTTTGAGTAAGATAAATTTTATATAAAACCTCGTATGGGACTTACTGATACAAGTATGTATGTGTATTGGTCATAGATTCGTTTAAATTATATTATTTAATACGTTCATGACTATTTGTAATCTAAGGTATCGAAATTACGATCGCGTGGTTTTCATTAGAATTAAACCTAATTCACTACCGATTTGAACCCATTACTAGTGAGAATATTTATTGTTCTTTTAAGTTTGGTTGTATTTTTTTATGAATATTACTGAGGTATATATAGTTGTCATTTTACGCACTTGTAACTTCTGAGTTGCAGACGTTCATAAGCGACGGTAGTCACTTTCCATTAAGTGCTCGTTTGCTCCCAACATCGTATTCAAAATTAACCAAAATTGAGAAATAAAAAGAAACTAATGCAAGGCACAACTGTTATCACTTAAATTTTATCCAAAGTTCAAGCAAAATATTTTTTTGTCATGTTCAGGTAAAGGTGTCAAGACTTAGAAGCAGTATTCGTTTACCAATGCTGATGTGGAAAGTTATTTCAGTTTCAATATTCATATTAAATTTCTCATTTCGGATAAAATTATTTCTACTTTTAGAACAATGTAGAGAAGAATAATCGCCCAGCCTGCTGCGCATTTGTTTCCTTTTAAACATCACTGCATATGCATTGCATACGCAACGCACTATTTACCTCAAATGACTCAGGCTCTGACAGTTCAATAGAAAAACACGTCTCTTCACAAGCATACTTGTATATATGAGTACACCATTACTGATATGTAGTTAGTATATGTAGATAGTTAGTTAGCTTTAGTTAAAAAATGCGTTGGATCTATACTCTGCGTAAAACCACGATATTTTGCTAAAAAAATTTGCTAATTTTCAACATTGTAGAATATGTTGTTTAAATTTCTTTAGCATTTAGCATTTATTCTACATTATTATAAATAATACTCGTATGTATTCCTTGCGCTCTGTACTTTTAAACAATAGTACGAAGTCTTTCCTTAAGGTATAAATATAAAGATTCAACCACATCACACACAAAGTAGACCAACAGTTCCTTTCTAAGGAAAGACCTATATCCAGCAGTGGACTATTTAAGGCTATGTTGATGATAACTTTAATAAAATTTAAGTCAGTTATTGTAGCAATTGTGAAGTCCTTGATGTAACCAGTGACTCTATAGTCACAATTGGTTAGGGAAAAAAGTTCAATTTATTAGATATTTACAAAGAGAGTTTAACAACCGCTGAAATAACTTCCAAATAAGTATTTAGGATAAGTATTAATATTTTTAAATTAATTTATTGTATAGTGTGCTCTTCCAAAACGTTCTATTTGCAAATTTGTTTTGTACTTTATACAGTACAAGCTAATTAGGTAGAAGAAAACTCCCTTTTCCGCCTTTGCAAAGCTCACTGATATAAGTAAACATTGGATTGAATTAAAATAAATTACACCAATTTTATAATCTCTTCGTTAAAGTCTCATATCTTTTAACTAATAGCAAATAGTTCTAGTTTGCATTCGTAAATATTCAAACAGTACCGTAAAATATATTATTCGTTCCAATATTGAGAAACAAAAAAAACATGACTTTGCTTAGAAAGTAAGAGAGTGACCTCACAAGGATATAGGTTGTCCTACTACTGCGTAAAATTGTTACCTAAAGGTCAGGTATCACTTTATCGGACAGCCGAGTATATGATCGCATTAGTGCGACACTTACTACTAATGCATCTCAAGAGGTTTGTGAAGACATCAACTCAGTGCATTTCACAGTGCAATTAGGGTTACCACAAGCAATCCATTGAGTTTAGCTCGGGTATAGGCTTCTAATTGTATTATATTGTATTTTTGACTGCACGGATGGCGTAGTGGGTTAAGCGGTCACCACGCCGCTTACGATCCCCACATGGTACGACACTTTGTGTGATTCACAAATTTTTGTTCTGAGTCTGGGTGTTCTTTGCGTCCGTTTCGTTTATTGTTGTAAAGTCACAAACAGGATATATTCCTAGTGCGGGAGTTGTCTTCAAAAAAAAAGAATATGTTACTTGACCTGAGTGAGAAGCTGACGTCTAATTGATATATTCTATCTACGAGTATATACTAGATCGTGAACAATATATATTATTTATTCTTTAAAACCAAATATAACAACAAGGCACCTCGCCGCTTCCAACAGCGCTGAGTGTTGTGGATTCGATCCCCACACGGGACAACACTTTGTGTGAGCCACCAGTATTTTTGTAAAGTTTAAGTATTTTTGTAAAATTAAGAATAATAATTATCCGTGTATTGACGAATTAATAATACAGATTATCAACACCCCGACAAAGGGAGTAAACTCCGCAGGACAACCACACTGCAGAGAGAAGTAAAACTTGACACAAACCCCATACCAACCCGTCTGGCCAGCTTAATATAGTAGGCCGAAACCTCCTTTCTAAGGAGAGGCCTATATCCAGCAGTGGACTATTTAAGGCTATTTATGATATGGTGTGAAACAAAGGGATTGCTTCAGTGCGTATTAGACCTAAGTTACACTGACTATGTTCCCAGAATAAAATTGGTAAAGCGAATTTTGTAAACCATGAACATGTTATTATATGGGTTTTAAAAATTTAAGATCTAAAATTTTCACTTGTTCCATATTTTCAGTAATAAAACCGCATTTTCTTCTGGAACTGGCAAAATAACTTTTTACTGTTTTAAACTTAGTTCATATATACAATGAAGAAGACGGCAATCTGTAAAAAAGTTTATTTTAAATATACAAATTTACTATTTTCTTATTAAATTATAAAATTGAAGTGATTGAATAGAAAAAGAAACATCATACCTCGAACCATTTCTTGTAATACTTTTAACTGGTAACAAAAAAAGGAATAAAATATACCTACAGCTAGCCTAGTCTACAGCTCTACCCGCGTGTATGTCACTTATAGCGCTAAAAAGTAGCCTATGTCCATTCTTAAGAATCAAACTATCTCCATACCAAATTTCATCTAAATCGGTTCAGCGGTTATTGATTACCCATACAAACTTATAACCCCCTTTTCACCCCCTTAAAGGATAATTTCTGGTATAAAAACTACCCTATATCCTTTCTTGGGAATCAAACTATCTCTATAACAAAATTCATCAAAATCGGTTCAGTGGTTTAAACGTGAAGAACTAACAGACAGATAGATAGACACACTTTCTGATTTACAATATTAGTATGGATACTAAAAAATAATTCAAAAAATTAGAGACAGCCCTGTTCAGTATTCATTGCTCGGCATAAAGAACGGTCCGTCGTTATTAACGGTGTTTGCGACTTAAGCATTTTGTAAAAATATCCTCTAAAATAATTCCTTTAAAAATTACTCTACGTTAGGGTAGAATGTTTTCATTTTTTTTATTTATTCATTGCCCAACGAGTAACAAAACTCATAGTTAGTAACAATTTGACGTATAACTATGTTAGTAAATAATAAAATAAAATAAAAAAATCTCCTTGAGAAATGATGTCGAATACAATATTTTTTGCTCAACCTAAGAACATAAATTTTAATTTTACTGAAATGAAAAGTAATGATTTCCTATCTATTCGATAGATGGCGCTGAATGACTGACAAGTGACAATTCAAAATAAAAAGTGTCGTTACAACTTTTCGTGCGAATTTTTTCCGTCTAGTCCCCTTTCACAACGCGCGATAAGCAACTTCGTTCCAAAAACACAACGAACACAATGAGATGAACCGATATCCAACATGGCATTTTATTCTATCTGTCACCCTAGCAGAAGCAGGCTGACGCTCCGAAGCGAGCTCCTTTTAGGGGCAGGAAGGGCCACCGTGGACCCCATACACGAGGCGGGCATCTGTAAGCCCGGGTCCGTCGTGGTTCGAATCCGACATAAACATCCCACCGGTCGTCCGACCAACTGTATTCGCACGAAAATAAATGATTCACTTCTATTACGAGTACAATGAGGATGCAATGCCCATCTTATGTTAATACTTTAAACCATTGGTGAACATTTACATAATTATTATAGTTTACATCATAACTTAACTATTAAACAGTTCCATAGAAGAAGTTCTTTTAGAATACGAGTATTACACCCGTAGGGACCTCAGTTTTAATGTTGAAGTAGAATATGATAGGTGTATACACGTAAAATAAATTATTTAAGTTCTCTAAGTCTTCTTTAAGTATAGAATTAAATTGTTTTGTAATATTAAATTCACGTATTATTATCATAATTTTAATGCTTAATTGGATGAAATAATAAAAGATTTGCGGGTACCGAACCTTGACAGCAAAATTCTAACTCATGCAATAGTTTTCTACAGCTGATTTAATTTTACAGCCAACTACCATATTCTTAAAAGTATTATTTCTTATTTTTATTCCATCTTCAAATGTTATAGTTGTCTGCATTTATTGACTGTACGGTTTTGTTTCAGGATCGTGTCTAAGCTACGGCCACTCCTGTTGGGGCGGTGAGTATTCCAATATTAATACTTTTCTAGAGTAATATACTAATAATTACGCAATTACTATAGTACTCGGTCCAGCATGAAACCCATAGTTTTAAATGGCAAATACTTAAAACAGAAATTTCAATCTTCAACTTCAACTTTTGGTTAATGGCTTTGTGGTAGAGTGTAACCACAATTTCGCCAATGTCATGTATTTAAATTTCAATCTAATATCGCCTTCAATAGTCTTCAATGAAATGTCATAAAAAATAGAAGTGTCAATTTACTTTCATTCGATTGAATGAAATAACGAATGATGAATGGTTTAAAGAACTTTCAATTTAGTATTTATCATTCGTCTCCTGTTTTGTAAGTTACTAAAGCTTGCAGCTGACATTACTCCCAAGAGTTTTATTGTTGTATTTTATTTAGATCTGTTAAAAAAATATATTAGATAAAACTGTAAAACAGTTTTTACGACCAATAAAAAATCTTTGAAAGGCATTTTACTATGCAAACCAAAATACTTTTCAAAGATAATTTTATTTCAGATAACATCTTTATATTCTGCTTCTGTTAGGCTCCATTTTAAGTATATCAAAACGATGAAACAATTAGATAAAAATGTGTTGAGGCTTAAAATGTGTAGACACAGATCGATTGAAGAAAATATTTGACTTTATTTCCTGACATATATTTTTTATTTTTAGCTCGAAAAAAAACTTTATCAAATTATTTCTATGTATCTAAAAATTAGTATAAAAAAAGCCGTGAGGGGTCGTGGGACACCCGATAGGAACGAAGTTGTGACGATCGAGTAAAACTGATTCGACACGATTTTAATTACAACGCCATCTATGAAAGCGGCTATTACCTACATATTTTTCAGTTGGTTTCTAATTAAAACAATTTATACATTTATAGATGGCGCTGAATGACTGACAAGTGACAATTCAAAATAAAAAGTGTCGTTACAACTTTTCGTGAGATTTTTTCCGTCTAGCCCCTAGCTATTTCACAACGCGCGATAAGGAACTTCGTTCCAACAATTCTTGATTTCGTTATGTACATTTTTATTCATGAATCAATATTTATAAATGTGTATTGTTGAATTACCTCCAAGTATTGGAGTTCAACGTCTTTTTAGCTTTATTTCTTTAATATATGTTACATATTATTTTAAATTATAACATATATTAAGAGAAAGGAGTAAATACTTTTAAAATTGTATTTTCTTCTTCAAATAAAATAAAATAGACACCAAATAGTCTTTGACACATTTTTTGATACATGTAAGCAGTACAAAGGAGGTTTTATACATTTTTCTTTTAAAATTTTGACTACTAAAAGAGTAACACAGAGAAATATAATTAACAAACATAATTTACTATAAATAGATGTTTATTTTTAAATGGTTGCATCAATAAGACGATTATTCGATAAATTACACAAGTAGTATCACCCACGGTATTACATGCCGACAATATTGGTCGTTCGACAATAAAATGCGGTGTCAATTATAGTGTAAAAATGTCAGCGCGTTTTATTAACTCCATTGGCGGCAAACTATTATCGTCTATATTGATTCAGTTTTAATCCATAAGCTCACATTATGATGATATCGGCCTAATGTCCCCATCATAATGTTCATATACGATTATTGAAACTTATCTATCTATGAAATAGGTATTGAAGTAATTGTCTTGGGAATTATTATTATTGCAAACGTACGAACGTAAACTACGTGTTTTTTTACATGCAACTGATCAAGTATTTATTTTTATTATATATATATTTTTTTTTTTTTTAAACAATTGGTATAGCGGCGGTAGCCTAGTGGTTAAGGCATTGGACTTGCGATCAAGAGGTCGTGGGTTCGAATCTTGGCCAGTACACTACCGACGTGAACACCCACTCCTAACACAAGCAATTTAGCTTAGCTAGAGAGGTTAACGGTAATACTAGTAATTTCGGTTCCTTTTAAAAAAAATGCACACATTTAGGATTTTCCAAAATAATCTGCACAGCTTAAAAGGCCGGCCATTATAAAATACAACACCTTTTTTTTCAAATGTTTTTGTAGTTAGACACGTATTGTGTATGTAAATAATTATAGTTAAATCAGAACTGCTACTTATTATTTCCCCCTCCTTGGGAATGTATAAAAATTGGCTTATTCCTTATACCGACTATAGACCTACCTTATATAGACTTTCCAGTAGACTAGTTTAAAGACGCTTAGGTCGCCACACAGCACCCACAAACAACATGTACATCATGCAATTGGAAAGGTCACTTTAACAACCTTAATACCTACCTTACAATTTTCAGCAACTCTATTAACTATTTACGGACTACTATATAATATCCCCCAAGTTTTAGAAGCATTTCTTGCCATAATCTGGCTAAAGTCTTCTGTAGGGTAAAAATGTTGGCCCAATATGAGGTTAGTTTAATTAGATTGGGTATTCGTTTTACACCAAATTAATTTTAGTTAACTCTTCTTGCTTTGGTAGTGGTATTTATCTGTGCCATGATTTACTTTTCTTATTTAAATACAAAGTAAATATCATCATCAACAGCCTTTAATAGTCCACTGCTGGACATAGGCCTCTCCTTAGAAAGGAGGCTTTGGCCTACTATACCACGCTGGCCAGACGGGTTGGTATAGAGTTTGTGTCAAAGTTTTCCTTCTCTTGCAGTGCTGTTGTCCTGCTTAGTTTGCTCCCTTAGTCGGCTCTTCCGACACCCACGGGATGAAAAGGGGTGGTGACACTCTGTATTCTTAATTCGTCACCACACGGACCAGTTAATACCAATTAATACCACATATGTCCTATCTCTTCAAAATAAAGAACCAAATATGAATCCGGCATAGTTTTAGGCAGGCAATATTAACATAGATTTCTTTGAAATTCCATAATTTCCTAAAATTGTGAGAAAAATTAATGGAGATTTTTTTTTTAAACAGGCATTTCTATATATCAAACTAAATTTAACTCAAAAATAAAGAATAAATAATTTGAATTATAAATTGTTCTTTTACTTTCAATATTTAATGCAGACAAAATTAAAAAAAATACGTGTACTAAGGAATATGTTATGTCAAATTAAACTGTCTTTATAAAAAAATTATGCAAATATCGTCTTTAGGATTACGAATCGGTGTCATTGTTGTAAAGATACCGTGTAATAATAACGTCCCATAATGTTTTGTATTAAAATACTAATACAAGTCACCTGCTGTCGTTTTAATCCCTCCTAACGACACCAATCAGCGACCCTATATACAGAGTGTTTCAGAAAGGTGTAGCTAAATTTTAGGCGCATCACATGTAGTAACAAAAATCTGTTCTAAGAAAATTGTAGTAACTTTTATCTGGTGTTACTTTAATTTTCTAAATAACGTGTTGAAATTTCAATGATTTTATCATTTAATGCACACTTTAACTTAAAAAAAGACATTCCATTAGTATTTAACATCCTTGGTGTTAAATGCCTTTAATTACAGTCAGTACATGTCTGAGGACTGACATCAGTCTCTCTCATATCAAGCAATGCTCAATTAATCTCTTGCTTCTATTCTCTCTTTCAAAATAAGATTTCTGTATTAAACATACAAATTCTCCTAAAATTGTTAGCGCTTTCTAGGTCACTATTTCAGGACCCTAAAATATGATTATACATTTCTGTAACACCCTGTAAACATATATATGTATATCCCTGATATGTCCCGGGCTATTAATTGTAAATATTGAATGTATATGTACGGGTAGGGATGAATATTAATGAGTTATACAAATATATATAACATTTATAGGTTACTGGATTTTAGTATGAATTAAGCAATTTTTAGATATTGGGTTATTTTGGTTTGGTAATAATTATAATTCGAAGTCAATGACTGCTTTAAAGGGTGGTCCGGGGATTTTATATTTTTGTGCTACACCAGTAAATGATTTATCAGTTTCGAATTTTAAAAGGTTCAAATTTTTAGACGTGGTTGCTGTTTTTATCATATTTCCGGGTTATTTCCATCACATTGTATATTACTACTAGTATTACGAGTGTTAGTCCCAATCATGTTGTGACTTAGTATATAATCATTTAATTAATAAAAGATAAACCTATATTAGATATTTCTAATACACATAAATTCATTACTACATATGAAAGCACAATGGCAGGCATGTATGGGACTTTTGTACCGCCACCATTGGAGTGATTATTTTTGTATTTATTTGGTTGGTGATATCAGCAACAATTACAGTTTTAATTACCAGATTTTTAGAACTTTGGGTCCAAAAGTTATATTAGTTAGTTTGCATACAGGCTGTACTGAAGTCGATATCAATGACAATTGGGTGTCACAAATGAGTGGTCATTACTGTCAACAAGCTAACCCACATATCTTTCATAATCATTCGTTTACGATTTTCTTGATCCGACAGTAAAATGTTGCGGTGTCAAATCAGTTTAATTATTTTTTTACATAATGATAATCGATTTGAATGAAACTTTTAGTACCTTTCCTTATATTACAAATAATTTAAGATTATCGTGGCAAAGCCATGCATGGCACGAATGGGCCGGCTCGACCGGAGTGATACCAAGGCCTTATAGAAAACCGGTGTTAAGCAATTCTTTCGTTGCCTTTCACTGAGTTACGAGGTTACCGGAGCCCAATTCCCTTTGGAGTCCAAGGGCGGCAACGCACTTGTGACTTTTGAGTTGCAGGTGTCCATGGGCGGCGGGAATTGCTTACCATCAGGTGACCCGTCTGCTCGTTTGCCCCCTAATACCATAAAAAAGGTAATAATAACTTATCACTTTTTGTATATCACACAAAGTGTCGTCATATGTGGGGATCGAACCCACAACACAGCGTAGACACTTATGCGGTTAATAGAAGGTACGAGAACACATTTAGAAAATGAATAGTTAGTATGCTAGATGTTTATTAATGGATGGTAAAAGGAGCGGTAACTGTTGGTTATTAATAGAAATTACTATACACTGTAAATACTAGGAAGTTAAGGGATTAGAAGGAAGCTGACACGTCCGGTGATACGTTACTTTGAATATGGAAACTCCATATGCTGGGCTTTTAGATATAATTATGTTGTGAATTGTAAGGTTATTTACTTAGCTATATATCATTTTAATTTATTATTTATATTTGAACTGTATTGAACTGGGATTACGGTCTTCATATCTGGAGATATTATTATGCAGATATTACATTATTATTAATAAGTATGGTAAAAAATAAATGTAAGAAAGTAAACAAACGTTTAGGTATTGAAAACGAAGAAAGAAATATTGGTTCTCAAACGCTTTTTGTCAACCATTTATTTATTGTACTCTTTTTTAATTTTCAGCCCATGGAAAACGATCAGGCAAGCCTCCTGGATTAGCCCCCGACTGGTATCTCAGCAGGCTTCTTCGACGCATGGCGGCTAGCGCTGAACTGGTACCTGACAATTCACTTTTTAGTTCTCTAATATGAATATTTTTTACAAAAAATTTGAACGCAAATTTTGAGGAATATTTTTACTATGTTATTTAACCAAAAATTAATGTGAAAAATTAATTTGGACCTTGATGATATTTGGTTCTAGTATTCAAATCCCTCAACCCTATCAATATTTTCAACTCTATGGAAGAGTTTATTGCAAAATATTTAAGTCTAAATATACAATTTACTTCTAATCTCCTGTTCACATCATCACATTAACAGCCTTTAATAGTCCACTGCTAGACAGAAGCCTCTCCTTAGAAAGGTGGTTTTGGACTACTACACCACGCTGGCCAGGAGGGTTGGTATAGGATTTGTTTCAAGTTTTCCTTTTCTCTGCAGTGCTCTGTTGTCCTACTTACTTTGCTGCCTTATTTGCCTCTTACGACAACCTCGGGATGAATAGGGGTGATGACACTCTGTATTCTTAATACGTCACCACATGGTCATTTAAATAAACGAAGATATATTTATTTTTTGTTAACACGTTCGCGGACACTTGACCCAATAATGTAACGTTATTTTGACACTACATTTTTGTATAAAACGCTGTAGCTGCTCCGTCACCAGTAAAAAATACCAAGTATTCAAATAATATCACACCGGCTTTTCCCTTCGCCTGCTATTAACGTACCGTCAATGAGAATAAATAAAAACGTATACGAATTGGACTCACCTGCTATAGACCTCGCCTGTTTTAACCTTCTGTCCTTGATAATGGTCATCAAGTACACAAATATAGAACACCTCGACTATAGCTTTTGCTGCCTCAGACCATAACCAAGAAAAAGGCAAGAAAAAAAGTATTCTTGTTTTGCAAAACCTAAGATTTTGTTTATGTCTTTGGTATTCCCTTCGTAAATACACAAACACCTTAACAATTGTTCGAACCTTCTTCCTGACATAATTAATTAATTAATTAATTAAATTGGTCCGTTCTACCTATCATCATCAAATCAAACCTAGGTTCGTCTAAAGTTGATGCAGTAGGTCGTTATGTATGCAGTAGGTTGCTGCCGATCGTTATTCCTCAGAATGATATATTCCTCAGAATAAAGAAATATAGTCATTACTTAGGATAACATAAAGGCGGACGCAAAACACACGTCACTTCCACTTAGCGGTGCACTCGGTAGTCAAAAAAACAAATCGTCATACAATAGCTCCTGCTATGACATAGGTCCTGCTATAGGTCGGCGAATAGTAACACGTTTGTGTGGGTAAAAATATATGTTTAGTGACATCTAGCAAATTGAATTGGCACTTGATAATGAACTTCACGGTAGTAGTATAAATATTTGACTGCTAAAACAATTGTGCCTCTAGAGTACAAAAAAACAACGAAGGCTCATTCTGCACTAGTCACTAGTGAATGTTATAGCCGACGTGTCCGCGAACGTGTTAATAAAAAGAAACATTAAAATAGGCTAGCACTTAATGCTCCAGTTATCATTTAACAAGCAAAGCAATATCGAAATTTGTATTTTCCTTTTTACTGATAATATAACGTCATTTGTTCGTATTTAAGTAAGCGTTTTACTTATACTGAAAACTTGAACCATCTACTCGTATATCGCTATTACATTTGTCTTGTCAATAAAAGCATCTACATATAAAGTTTCATACATTAAACTATGTGAGCGGAATTGTAATAACATAAGTACAGCTCGGTTTCTACCGCGAGCCCACAAAAATAAACTGTATAGGTACTCGTATTTCTACCAACAGATAGTAGGGCGGGAAGAAAGAGCGAGCAGAAAAATATTTTATATAAAAGGAGTCAGTCCCGTTTTACTATTTCCCGCTCATTACCCTTTCATCACTCCGCTCCCCGCTCATTCCACAGTAGAAACCCGGATTACAAGATTAAGAAAAATTCAGTATCGTCAAAGCTTGTAGCGCCATCTATATCAGAGTTATTTAATTTTCAGAATCGCATGAAACAACTGTCTGCCAAGAACGACGACATCAACGCCATCTATCAGCTGGATATACCAGATGACTCATCCACAGACAACAAACTTATGTAAGGTTTTTGTTATTTTAGGAGAGGATGCGTTACTGGTAGTCAAATTTATAATAGCTACCTTGTATCTTAACTGTCTAATGCCCACGGCTACATTCGAGTGATTGTTCTTATTTTGTGTATCTAACTTTCATACAACCGTTCTTTCCTTATTTTACCTTCTTAGGGGTGAAATTATTGAAAATTCTTTCTTTGTAGATAACCATATTAAAAGCATCAGCTGCAAAAAAAATAAGTTTGTAGCCCTAGCGGGTTAGGCTCTGCGTTGAAAAATCTGACAGTTTTTTTTGTACTTATAGATCAATTAAGATTTTTTTAATAAAATTATAAAGCTAAGGCAGAGACCCTTCAGTAGAGACCGTACAGGCTTATCTACCAGCCAATATACTATGACTAAAATGATGATGATAATAAGACGCTGTACATAGAAATACACAGACCAATGAAAAGCGACTTCCTAATTATTTCAAATATTGTATTGACATGAAAGGGTTAAAAGGATAGGTTATCTTCATGAAATGTTTTTATGTTTATCTTCAATTCAAGATTATATAAACAACTTTTATTTGAAAAACAAGAAAAAAGTTTAGTTACAAAATATATGCAAACACTGTTTGCTAAAGTGTAGAAAATTGATTCTAAGACTTTTTTTTAAACTATGAACATAGCAGAGCGGTGATTACACCCTTAAGCATATTTTTTCAAATAATTACATTAGTTTGAGATAGTAAAATAAAGCAATACCTTTTTAAACTTCCTGTAGGTCCAAAGTAATTTTTTAGAACGAAACTTAAAGTATCTATGCCCCCAATTACATTCACCCATTCTTTTTTTTCTCTCCAATCGTGGCCAAAATCTTAAAATGAATACTTACTGAACGGTTAAACTTCAACATATACCTGATATATAAACATTGTTTATTGTTTATTAGCGGGTTCGATTCCCGCACATTTGTGTGCTTCATGCAACACATTTAATGTTTGATTTAGTCTGGGTGTTTCTATGTATAATATGTATGTATATACAAAAAAAAAGTATATATGTATTTATATCAGTTGTCTAGTTCCCATAGTACAAGCGCAGAGCTTAGTGTGGAACTAGATGGTGTTGTGTGAATGTGGTACAATATTACAGAATTATTATTGTTGTACTCCATGCAAAATAAGTCCTCTATTAGAAACTACTGCTACTAACTGATGTATTTTTTAATTTCAGTGTGGACAACGATGAAGGCCCAATAGAATTACCCCAGAGCGGAAATCTGGAAGCCAAACCTATGCTGGATGAAAACCTTCTAACGAAGATGAAGCTTTGGCAAATTATGGTAAGACAATGTCTTAATATTTCTATTTGACGTTGTACTTCAATAAATATTTGAAAACACGCAAAAATGGCATACCGAATTATAGATAAAAAACCTATTCTCTTCGCTTCATCAAGTCATCGCTACCAATCTCAATATGTTTTAATCGTAAAAAGTACTATGAGCCAAAACGCGAAGGGTTGCTCGTGTCATATAAAAGATACTTTTTTATGGAAGAGGGGGCAAACGAGCAGACGGTTCACCTGATGGAAAGTGACTACCGCCGCCTATGAACGCTTGCAATCAGGAGTCACAAGCTCGTTGCTGGCCCTTGAGGAAGGTGTACGCTTTTTTGTAGGTTTATAGGTTGCATCGGTCTGGAAATATTGTCTGTCTGAAGTGTCTAGAAAAGTGCACAGTTTTCAAGTATTTTTTTTTTTTATTTCCGTGCGGAAATCCCCTCGGATACCACCTGTCGGTGGCATGTCGGACTCGAACCGACTAAAACCGCACGCCGTCTCGGGTACTAATAGCCGGGGAACCAGGTATACCGGGACTTTTCGACCCTAAGCCTTTTCTATAGAACTTAGGACCTGAAATTAAATCTTACAAAGAAAACTTGAATCAATGACAGTTTCCATTTTAAGTTAAATATTGCCGTTATATAAAATAAACCATTAATGGTTGAATGCAAATAAACATAGTTTTAAAATACAATAGTTAAATAATAATTTAGGTCGAAAATAATTCGTAATGTCACATTAAGATAATAATATTTTGCGGTTTAGTAATCTTATTATTTCGTGTATGTAGTCGTATTTTATTTAGTGAATGTATACTTCAGTGTTAGTTTTGCATTAATTTATACATGGTATCCCTGTCAAAACCACGATGCCACAAATTTTATTAAAACAAAACTCTAACGTCAGTGTCATAATATTTTCTCGTTGTTAATATTTTCAATAACCACTAGTTCTGTTACAATATACGTTAATATTTTAGATAATACTCAATGCAGGCTTAATAATGCAGTTTACATATGTTTGGCACGGCAAAAAAAAAGCGTAAAACTGATTTTCATACTAAAATGGGCATTCTCCATTAACACCATAGAAGAAATTAGCTAAAAAACTTAGATGTTTCTTTCTTTCCTAGAAATTATTTTATGCTTATTTAAACATTAAACTTTATTTGATTAAAAAAATACTTTCCTAGTTAGATCCAGTAAAACTAACACGTTAACTGTATTTAAAATTTTCTGAAAGCATATAAAAATAAGCATTAAAGATACAATCACTACTTTATTCCAATCCTTTTTACTTATAAAATATTTGCCCACGTGTAAGTAGAATTCTCGAGTGGAATAATCACGTGCAAAAGCATGTGATCACCATTTTTGAATCGTGAGATTTTCTTAAGGATCAGGTGTATGACTTATAATCATAATATATCCTTTTTTATCTCCGGCGTGGGGTCATTTAAAGGCCATTAGCATTCATTCTTGTTTAGAGTAAGAGCTCGAAAAGAGTGCATTAAAATTTCCTTAAATTCCTTCCTTAAATTCGTCTCTTTGTAATAAAACAAGTCTGACACAACGAGGTAAGATTGATATAATAAGTCATGCCTGTATGTTAGATCAACAGCCAGAGGTCGTGCGTTCAATTTCCCACCCAGGACAAAAAATTGTGTGATGAGGACGATCATTTGTTTTGTGTTTGGATGTAATTTATCTATAATATGTATGTATTAAGAAATTATAGTATGTTTATCAGCAGTCTGCAGCTGCAATACAGGCCTAGTGTGAGATTAGACGGCCATTTGTGAGATGTGTAAGATTATTATTATTCTCTTTATTTATTTTATATACATATTAGTTATATTTTTATGTACATATTAGTAATTTTTTTTAACAAGTAGACCACCGACATCGGGTACAGGGACCAAGACACCGGTAGTTAGGACTCCAAAGATAGGAACCTCCTCACTATACGAGCCGTGTCAAGGAGGACTGCTTCTGCATCAGATCCTTGATCCAGCCGTCTAACGTAAGCCTCTTAAGGTGTTGGTCGGTGATATTGTAAGCTTATTGGCAACAATAGTCCTGCCTGTGATAATAGATCGATCCCAATACAACGTGGCTCAACCATTCTCGAGAACTGGGTCGGACACATACCTGTAGTATGGCACCTCTAGATTTATAAGTTGGTAATTAAGGGCAAGCTGTTGGTTTACGATCCTAGCTACTCGGTTGTGCCTGTGCGAATATTCACCACATTCAACCAGAAAGAGAGTTCAAAGTCAGACAAAACCACAAGGGACTCTATCACCTTGAAATATACCCCGCTCGATCTTTATTAGTACATCATTTACCGCAGTCTGCCGATAACCTGGATACCGTAGTGCTGTTCTCCATTGCCCTATACATGACAATAAGAAAGTACACAAAATTATTTCAATTTTAATACAACTCCAGCACCCTCAAAAGCCTCGCGTGTGGAACCGAGTCATAAGCTTTCTTTTAGTTTATCCAACATGTCGCCAGACTCTTACGATTACGACGCACCTGTTGGCTAATGATCATGTCTATGATAAGCAGCTCTTTCGTGTCACAGGACTCACTTCTACATACATTCTGAAAAACTGACATAATTGTATTATTATGATTATAATCTTGCAGTGGAATTTTTTACATGAAAAAGGTCTTGTTGTCTTGATATGACGTTAGACGTCATGTCTTACTATAAATATTGTTAATTTATTTATTTTGATTCTTCTTTATTATTCTTCTTGGTGTATTCTTATAAAATGATGCATTTTTATTGGTTAATTTATTTTAATGGTTTGCGGTATTATAAATATAGAGAAGATTTATATTTATTATTCTAATTATTACTTGAAAATCATAGTTCACTATCCTTCGACTGGGACTTTGCTGGGATTGATATGTCAATCAAATCAAAGATTAAGGGGTGGAGGCGTATCAAACAAGCAAACTCCATTTTGCATTTAATAATATAATTTTATTAGGTAAGCCCATGAAACGGCTCTGAGCTACAAAATAAATAAACTTACATTTAATATCAGAATAACAGTAACACTTTCGCCCTATGGAAATGTGTCTAAAAACAAAATTAACCCTACACAATTTGTGTATTTAAAAACCTCAAAGCAATAATCAGTTCTTTATCTATCTATATATGTATATGTCCACGACAATTTGCTAGACATCTAGTTATCCTCCGGTTGTAAATAAAAGTAGTGCAAAGGAAAAAAAGAATAAATAAAAAAGCCTATTAATGTTGTTGTCGTTTTTTTTTGTTTCAGAGAGCATCGCCTGAAGAGAATTAATTTAAAAAACTAAAATCCAAAGATCGACTGACGTTATTAATTTCAATTTCTTATTTTCATCTATGTATTATTATTATTTAATACATTTGTTTTATATACATTAATATTTTATTTAATACTCTAATTTGAATGTATTTATTGCATGTAAAAACGTCAATTGTAAGGCTGGGTTGCAATTGGCAAATAGTTGTATAAAATATAGACTAAGATAATATGTGCCATTTATGTCGTTATAAGATACTTATTTTCTGTGAAATAGACGGCTACTACATAAAAAATAAGATCATCATAACTTAATTTTTAAAGGTCTTTCGAGATTAATTTTAAATACACATTACATTTACACAGTATAGTGCATTTGAGTGATATATATATATATATATACACATCACAAAGAATAACTATCTATTTATAGTTTCTTGACCAGTAATGTTAAAATTATAATTTATAAAATCTCTCTGCATTTGCGAAAACCAATTTATGTACAGGGGGCGATGTATAATTAAATATTATTACACAAGAATATTGCTTTATTTGTGAATTTAATAATATGATTGAAATCATCTAAAAATAAATATAATGAAACTATATGAAATATGTAAAAAGTATTTACCATTTCCGATTAAAAATTATTGATTGATAATTAAAATTCTATAAATTGACATGAGAAGACTTAAGAAACACGCACTTATACTTTTTTTTTTACACTCCAAATAAATAAAACTGCTCTTTTCCGAAAAACGTTAGAAATATTTCTGAAGCCATTTACTTTGAAAATTGTTAAATTATTTTACACAATCTTCAATAACTATAACGTCAAGAACGGTATAAATAACGATCCTAAAATTTGATTACATCTTTTACAAGCCGAGTCATTTGATTGTATTCTCAATGCGATATCCATTAGTTTTTAATACATTAACAGTACACAATCTTTAATATAATATATACAAATATGTATGAACGTTTTTTGATTGACTTTTTAATGTAGTTTACTGGACATTTCACTAATTTAACGTATTTTTAATTACATATATATATATATATATATATATATGTATATATATAAATGTATATATACATATATATATATATATGTATATATATAAATGTATGTATATATAATATAATAATATAAATATATAATAACTGCTGTATATCCGATATGTATAACTAATAAACTAATTAATTCTTATCAACATCTTAAAATATTAAATATTAAATTTCGTTATTGTTATTACAAAATTGGTTGATGAGAGAAGGAAATGTTTTTACAAGTTCTGAATATAATATTTATTCACTTGTTTGTAATGTTTAGTAATTACTGTTGGTGTTATTATATAAAATGGAACTGTAAAATATAAGGCAGATTCATCTTGGATTTACCATCTTTTATTTACCTTGTATATATTCCTTAAAATAAGACTTATCATCAACAACCTTAACTTGTCTACAGCTGGACATAGGTTCTGCTTAGAAAGCAGGTTTTGGCCTATTTTTTTTTTTTGGGACTAATCCCACCCACACGCCCACCACTGTAACTCCTGTACACCAGGATCCACAGCAGTGACCCACGAACACACCGAGTTATGACACTCGGGAAGTCCCAGGAAGAAATTAAACTGTCTTGGAACCCGCAACGAAATTAATCAGAAGAAAATTGGAGGAGTTGGAAATACAGTAAATCCACTTCACAGTAAATACACTAAGTAAAATAGGCATACACCCTTTTAAACAGGGAAGCACCACGGCCACAAAATATTACGGGTCCTACATGAGCTATATTTGATTTCTATAATATGTATGGCAGAATCGCCTAAACGCACGGAAATTCACCCTAGTTGACACAAGATCCCCATAGTATACCGCCCCAGATGTCACCTGCAAGCTATTCAGCATTATATTACGTTCATTATACCAAAGACTACATTCCCAGAGGATATGATGAGCAGACTGTTCATAATGAGAGTTAGGTGTTGAGCATTGACACAATGGTGACTCGACTAATTTAAATGAATACAACTTGCTCTTAAAGTTACCATGACCCGTAAGAAATTGAGCGACACAGTGATCCACCTCAAGCCATGTCCTCGACAACCGTTCGCGAACAGATGGAAAAAATTGGTAAAGATGGCGCCCCTTGGATGATTCGTCCCAGCGTTGCTGCCATTCGTCTATGAGGTCATTATAGACATCGGTAAGATGGGCATCTTGGTAATTTCCCCCGC